CAGGGGGGATGGTCACGCCGCAATCCCTTCTCCTCCATTCTCCTCTCGGGATCTTGGGCACGCACGCACACGCACCCGGCGTGAGTTTTAAGCCACCGGGTCCGGGACTTGAACCATTGTTGGCTACATGGGAGTCCAGCGACATAGCCATTACACTAACAGCTGGTCCGCACACAAGCAGCCTTCAAGGTCAGTTCAACAAAGGCTCCATGGCACAAGCGGCGCGGAGACTCACGCAGCACCGTGGGGAGACTTCCACACCGGAAGGCTCTCGTCAGGCCTGGCCCACCCTGTGCCGGCCACGCGGGGACCGTTGCCTGGAGAAGGAAGCGTGTTCCGAAGGCTGTGTGTTGGAGGATGCCGACTGTGCACTCGGGGCTTTGGATGCAGGAAACTGAACGCAGGGCTTGGTTGCGACAGCGTGGGTCTCTGCGTGGCTTCCCGGACAGCTCTCGCGTGCCTGGTTCATCTTAGGGCCTGTCTTCAAGCTCTGAGCTTTGCTGTTTCCCGGGTGTGGAGAAGAGGAGACCGCAGTGGGGTTTGCCCGCAACAGGAATCAGGAAACTTCTTTGTAGCCGATGCTTATTGTCCTCTTGTCACAGGATGTCCTTTATTTTCTTTGTCAGGTGTCCCTGGGGTCTTGCTGCGACAAAACGCTTTTTAAAAACGTCATTTCTTTCTCTTCTTTATTATTTTTTTGAGAGTCCCAGACCTGGCAGCTTGGAAGACACTCTGGGAGTGTGTGCACGTGTGTCCATAAGTCTGAGAGGAGAATGGAGGAGAAGGGATCGCGGCATGGCCATCCCCCGGTGGTGATTACTCATCCCTTCCTCTGTCTCCGTCTCTCTCTGCTGAGCATACACCCCCGATGGCAAATTAAAACAGCTGACCCCAAACTCCTTCACGTAGGCATTGCGTTACGGATGGCTTCTTTGGGGGGCCAGTCATCTTGGCGTGCGTTCTCTGACGTCCTTGTGCTCCGTCCCGTGGGACTGCTGCACGGGTTCCACAACGTGACCCTCCGGAGTCTGTTTCAGGGATAGCCTTGAGGATGAATGCAAGGATTTTGCTAGGGTGGACATGAAGAGTTTGAACAGCGGGGTCAAAGGTCGTGCACATTTATTTCTTCATTTTTATTTTTTAAAAGAATTATTTAACTTTCTTTCTTCCTTTCTTCCTTTCTTCCTTTCTTCCTTTCTTT